GCATGTCTTCTAGGCCATAAGCTTAGTGAAGATGGAAATCATATGCATCTATGTTCTCGATAATGACCAGCCTAGTTCTTTACGCTTTGGAAATGTCCAATGCATGTTTGCTAAATGAATCGATGAGGCACGCGGACTTTTGAGGGACACAGAAATTATGAGATGGGTAGTAGAAGGAAGTGAAGAACAAGTGCAAGAGATCCCCATCTTGCATCTTGGGGAGAGTGGCAGATATTACCTGCTTGCCTTTTCCTTTCACCCAGAAGAGGTGTTAGAGCGGTCAGAGGAAATGGAAATACTTTGGAAGACAGAGACCTGGTAATCCCTTTTCACCCAACGAGAACCAAGCCCTGGATGAATGGATGAGCAGCTCGCATTTTTCTGCCCCCTGCCCCGGGTCTTTCTGAGACTGACTTTGTCCTAGGAACTGTTTGTCCCTCTGGAAGTTAGACTGGTATGTGGGTGTTCCTTAGAGCCCTGGTGATGGGGAATTAGGAAGTAAGTGCTTGAACTGAAGCCCTTTTGTCCTAATTCACTGATATCTGGGGCAAAAGCTTGCCCTCTCTGTGAAAATGAAATGAAAATCTTTTCATTTTCCCAGAACTCAAGGTCAGACCCTGGCACAGTAGGGCCCCTACCCCGTACCATTGCCCTGGATGGCTCTCGAAGCTGGTGGCAAGAGAGAACTGAGAGTTCTCTGAGGAAAAGAGCAACCAGGTTGCTCATTTGTTTTAAATTATTTAGTCGCATCAAATATTCAGATTTGTGGCAACAACTCTATTTAAAAACTCCGGGCACATGATGGATGAGCTCAATGTTTTCAGTCAGTTCCCAGTTTCCAGCCCACCCTCCGGGAATCTTCTAAGAGTTACCTGGGCTTGCCTGGGTTAGCCTCCAACTGCCGGGACCAGCTAAAGTGCAAGAGCTACACAATGCCTGTGATGATATTTGGCATACATTTTTCATATAAATGAATTTCATCATGTCCCATACATTGCCTTCAAGAGAAAAAAGATATTCAACTTAGGAAGTCAGAACTGGGATGTTTGCATAGAAGTCACGCTTTTTGTATAGGCGGATTGTGTAAGTTTGTTTCCATGGACTTCTGCCTGTGAAATATGTGGTGTGTGTGTTTCTGGTGTGTGTGAAGCTGCTGCTCTTCTCACAAAGCTCATCATTTTAGGTGAGACTGAATGTGACACCTATTGAAGCCGCTTTGGAGCCCAAGATGCATGCCCTAATACTTTTTTTTCTTTTCTTTCTTTCTTTTTTTTTAAATTTAAGACAGAGTCTCACTCTGTCACCAGGCTGGAGTGCGGTGGTGTGATCTTGGTTCACTGCAACTTCTGCTTCCCGGGTTCAAGCGATTATCCTGCCTTAGCCTCCCGAGTAGCTGGGACTACAGGTGCGTGCCACCACACCCGCTAATTTTTGTATTTTTAGTAGAAACGGGGTTTCACCATGTTGGCCAGGATGGTCTCGATCTCCTGACCTCATGATTCTCCCTCCTCGGCCTCCCAAAGTGCTGGGAGCCACCGTGCCCAGCTAGTACAACCACTTTTACTGAATGCTTCCTATATTCCAGATATTTTATATATATGCCTTACATTATATTATCTAACATCCTTGCTCAAAAATAATAAGGCAGGTATTATCATTCCTATTTTATAGCTAAGAAAAGTAAGACTCACAGATGTTGCTCAAAGTCACATCAAGGTTTGGCTTATTCCAAGCCTGGAGTTTCGTTTCATCATACAACAATGTCTCCCCTCTGGCAAGTTTCTAGGACTACCCTACATAACATCTGCTGCACTGTCACAATGCAAGATGATACTTCTTCCTCTATAATGATAATCTCTGGGGGAGGGTGTGTGGCAAGCGGAATGTGGGAGGGGGGCTCTTGGGAAGCTGACAAGGCTCTATTTGTTTCTCTTGATAGTGGTTACACAGGTATGTTCACTCTGTGATGATTCACCAAGGTAGACACATAAGATTCAGAATTGCTTGGTGTTTGTCATTTTTCTTTTCTTTTTTTTGTTTTTGTTTTTGTTTTTTGAGATGGAGTCTTGCTCTGTCGCTGAAGCTGGAGTGCAGTGGCATGATCTTGGCTCACTGCAGTCTCCACCTCCTGGGTTCAAGTGATTCTCCTGTCTCAGCCTCCCTAGTAACTGAGATTACGGGAGTGTGTTACCACACCTGGCTGATTTTTGTATTTATAGTAGAGACAAAGTTTCACCATGTTGGCCAGGCTGGTCTTGAACTCCTGACCTCAGGTGATCTGCCTGACTCAGCTTCCCAAAGTGATGTTTGTTATGTGTCAATAATAAGTCTATTTAAAAAATCATTTCTCTATACTGGGCATGGTGGCTCATACCCATAATGCCAGCACTTTGGGAGGCTGAGTGAGTGGATTTCTTGAGGCCAGGAATTCAAGACCAGCCTGACCAACATCATGAAACTCTGTCTCTACAAAAAAACAACAACCAAAAAATTAGCCAGGCATGGTGGCACATGCCTGCAGTTCCAGCTACTGAGGAGGCTGAGGTGGGAGGATCACTTGAGCCTGGGAGGCAGAGGTTGCAGTGAGCTGAGATCACACCACTGCATTCCAGCCTGGGAGACAGAGTAAGACCCTACTTCAAAAAAAAATTTATCCTAGCAATTAATGTTGGAGGGGAGCCCTGCTTCTCATGGACAATAGACACTAATTAATCAGTGGGAACTCCTTGGACTCTACTACATACTAATTTTTAAAATAATACAAATAAGTTGATGCCCTGCCCCTTTACAAAAAGCGTTTTAAGTGGATCACAATAAAACATCATGCACAATCATAAAGTGGTATTAGGAGGAGGTTGTCAGCACTATATAGGAAGGAAAACTTTCCTTACATACATATGTCACTCTGCTGGGCACCACAGAAGGCTTAAGGCTGGCTTCCACTCTCAGTGTGCTCACACAGCCAAGCTGATGACACTGAGCCTTTACTAGTAGTAAATAGACACTTGCCTCTAAATATATTGGAACTTGTTGGAATGGGTTCCCACTCTCAATTTGGTGATCAATAAACTCAAAGGAAGTAAAAGTTTTCATGGACTACATCCTACATCTCATGTGTGGGTAATTGAAATGGAAAATACCACATCTGATCAATATTTTGAATAATCTGAGCTCCCAATCTTAAAGCTTTCAAAATGAATATTTATACGTTTATAGGATGGTATAAACTTGGAGAGACTCACTTATCTAGTTGCCAGGACAATTTTGTAATAGATTTGTAATTATGTTCCTCTGCTTGCATAAACATTTTTTTTTTTTTGAGACAAAGTCTTGCTTTGTTGCCCAGGCTAGAGTGGAGTACAGGGGCATGATTTTGGCTCACTGCAGCCTCTGCCTCCCAGGCTCAAGCAATTCTCCTGCCTTAGCCTCCTGAGTAGCTGGGATCAGATGTGCATACCACCATGCCCAGCTAATTTTTGTATTTTTAGGAGAGATGGGTTTCGCCATGTTGGCCAGGCTGGTCTCGAACCCTTGACCTCAAGTGATCCAAAGTGAGCCTCAACCTCCCAAAGTGCTGAGATTACAGGTGTGAGCCACCATGCCTGGCCTCGCATGCACTTTTTACTGGGCTAACTTTACAACATCAAATAGCACAGAACTTCTAGTTTACTTCAGACTGTGATGGCTTTAAAATTTCTAGACTGGGGTAGTGGTTATACATTTTTTCTCCTTCCCTGTATCCTAGTAATTCAGAGACCTGGAGGGAGAATATACATAGACTGTCAGATCTACAGACCTGCTTCCTTCAGTAGCTGATTTTCTTTCATTTGTGTCAGAAACAGGCAGCATGGCACCTGGACTGAACACTTTGATGAGAAGTTTAGTAAGGATATAGAAGAAAGAATACTACATAAGGAGTAGTAATTTCTGGCTTTTAGTATCAGCCCTGCCATTTACCAGCTTGCTTTCTTGGACAAGTCATTTTGCCTCTCTGGGTTTTAGTTTCCTCAAATAAAAGCTGTGTGATAGAGGAGGAGGTGGGGTTAGGTTATTTCAAAGCTTGCATTCATAGACTCTTCAAAGTGATGTTTTGATTAAAAAACTCCACCTGCAGGATCACATACAACCTTCCAAGGGACTAACAGGTGAACTGGCATTATCAAAGCAGAAATTATAAGGGCTGGAGTAGGAGGGCATGGGAAAGTCAGAGAAAGGGAAGGTGAGCCATAACTTATCATGGCAAATATAAGGCTTTGATTCTTTCAGAGTGATGGATTTTGAATTAAAACTGTTATCCTGAGAGAGGCTACTATTTTCCCCTCCAACCGTCTTAGGGGGAGACCTGCTTTACTGAAAACTGAGTTGCATAAGAAACTTGAATGAAGGAAGCAATGGATGTGTTAGTGCTTTGAAATAAGCAAATGCTTACAGGGGATGTGAGTGAGTCATGGCTGGAGGGAAGCTTTCTGGAGCCATGAGGGAGTCTGATTTGAAAACAGCAGTTCATCTCTGCTGCAGACCATTTCTCTAATTTCAGACAAATTGGCCAGAAATTCAGGTGTTTGGCCACTGCTAGCAGACGTAACAGGGACAAATGCAGTCTCCTACAAGGGTTAGGACAGCAAAGGTGCCAGGGGGCATACAGGGGCATAAATAGGCAAGGAGAAGGAGGGGTGAAAAAGGAACACAGATGATTTAAGTGAATGAATGAAGCTTCTGACCATCTGAGCCTCTGGAGGCAGCCCTTCTCCAAGAGCTCACCCATCTCTATTTTGAGCAGGAAACAGGATCAGACAGAAAGGGCTCCCCAGACTCATAGATACAAGCTAGTTTCTCATTAAGTCCCAAAGCAAAGTCAGGGGAGTGGAGAAAACTCCTGGTGCTGGCGCCTGTTCCAACGGTTAGGTTGGGAAATACAGGAGATATTTACCTTATGTAGGACGTGCTCGTTGAAGTCAGGGCCAGCTCCTCCCTGGTAGGAATCGGGTCTCTGCAGGTCCATGCCCGACTTGGAGCTCGCCACTCCGACTCTCCCTGCGCTCTGCGTCAGTGCTTCCAGGAGCTCAGTCCGAGTTCCGCTGGGTGCGGCAGGCTCGGGTCTGAGCCCTGCGGGCCGGGCCGCATCCGTTTTCAGCACTGGACAGTTCCCCGCAGCGGCCGCGGCGCGGTACCAGGCGGGCAGGCGGCCACGCTCTTCCAGGACGGAGTGTTTCAGCACCAGGAACAGCGACTCCGCCGTTGTGCGCCTGGGACCAGAGTTCTGAGATCCTGTCAGCTCCAATCCCTGCCTCTTAGGACTCCAGGATGCTGGCAGGGACGCAAGATTTGGGTCCGGCTGGTGATCCCTGCGTATTTCATTCAGCTACCGGACTCCGGAGGCTCAGCGACCCGGCCGCGTTCTCAGGGCACTGCAGTCCTGGGAGCTCACCGCTCCTGATTCCGAGAGAACGGGCATCTCCGTCACCACGCAGCTTAGCGCAGCGCAGCTCTCCTCACACGTTTGCAGGGGCGAAGTCCTGCGGCGCTGGCGGCGCTTCTGTTTTTGTCCCTGGACGATTCTCTCCAGGATGTAAGAGATAAATAGAGATTCTAAGCCTGAGGTCGACAGACGATGGGTCTTAGGTGTCCCCAAAGTCCCTGAAATATGCTAAATTCTGCTTACCTGCATTTTCCTAGGGAGAAGGTCCAGGGCTTTAATCACATTCTCTCCAGTATACTTGACCCCAAGAAGTTAAGAACAATGGGCCCAGGAGAGGCAGATGGTGGTTTGGATAGGAGCACAGGCTCCAGGATTCAAATCTTGACTCTGAAAATTATTAGTTGTGTAACCTCGGGCAAATTAATCTCTCCTAAGTGTCCACAAAATGGAGATAATATTATGATAGTACCTGCCTCATGGTTTTGTTCTGAGGATTTAATGAGTTAATTCATGTAAAAAGCCTAGAGCAGTGCCCGGCATGTACTAAGAACTCAATAAATGTGAGCTACTACGCTCTCCGAAAAGGGGATGAAGAGCTCTGGCTACTTCCCCTAAACATTAGGAGAGTCCTGCTGCTGTGACCATTGATTGGCAAAATTGCATCATCACCTGTAATATGAGAGCGTGAGGCTGACCACCATGGGAACTGGAGGCTGAGACTGTGGCCCCTGGGATTATTATCAGATTACTAAGGACAAGTCCTAGTACCACCCACCGGCCCTTGGAGTCAGTATCAACATGAAAGGAAAGAGCCAGGCTTAGGGTTAAAAGAGTACATTTTACTCCTGGGTTTCACTCCTTTTTGGCTGAGTTGCATGAGCCAGATCACTCGTGTTCCCTGGGATTACTTACATTTTCTCATTTGCAAAATAGGTAGAGTAATCTGTGCCCACTTTATTGGGTTTGGGGGAAGAGTGAGACAAAGCATATGAAAAGTCCTTATTTTCTTTTAAATTGTAAAGCAAATTTCATTTATAAAGCTTTATTATTGCTGGAATCACTATACTGTAGATAGTCAATGATTAAATGAACAAAGCTAGGGAAACAACGTGCTTGTTTTATGAGATTCTCACTGGGCTGATTTTTTTTTCAGCCTGTGACAAATACATACCATCCGATGGTTGGAGTTCTTAATGTGAGGTGAATAAATGGATGAATGTATGTTAGGAGAACTTTGCAACATTGATAACGTTACACAAAGTTTTGCTTCTGTGCCTTTTTCTGGGGGAGGAGAAATCTCCAGAAGAAGAAACGAATCCCATAGATTTGATTAAGTTCTCAAAGTTGTTTATACTCAAAAAAAAGTACAGAATGAATAGCTTAGACTTGCTCATCTTAACTTTCTCCTGAGCTTCCTCAACAACCCTGACTACTATAGATAAGAAGATTCTAGAGGCTTTGTCTGGAACCTCACATTCCTTGGAAGATTCACTTCTCAGGGTCTTGTTTGGAGTTCTGAAGGTTTAGAAACATTATTCTGTTTGTTCAGGTTTATAGAGCAAATAGCGGAGGATCTGAACCAATCCAGAATTGATGACGGAAGACTTTCATGAGAAATGATGTTTAAGCTGAGATCTGAAGGAAAAGTGGGCATTAGTCGAAGAGGGTGGTGGTGGTGGGGTGGTTCCAGGCAAAGCAATCAGTATATGCAAAGGTTTTAAGGTGTGAAGAGCTGAGAAAAGACCAGTGTGGCTAGAGTCTTGAGAAAGACAGGAGAAGGGTAATGGGAGACCAATCTAGAGATAGATAAGGACCAGATCATGTGGATCTTGTTAAGGCTTTTGAACTTCATTCTAAGATCAATGTGAAACCATTGAAGGACTTCAAGTAGGGAAATGGCATGGCTAGATTTGGGTTTTAAAGACACTACTTTGGCTACTGTATAGAGAATGAGTTAAGTCAAGAATGAATGTGCTCTTTTATTGATTTATAAAATAGATTTTTATATTATGGGCATTAAACCTTTATGTCATAAATATTGCATTATTTTCCATAGATTTCTTTTCTTTTTTTTCTTGCTTTTTTTGAGACATGGTCTCACTCTATTACCCGGGCTAGAGTGCAGTGGCTCAATTAAAGCTCACTGCAGTCTCAACCTCCCAGGCTCAAGCAATCCTCCTGCCTGAACCCTCTGACTAGCTGGGACAACAGGTGTGTGCCACCATGCCTGGCTAATTTTTGTATCTTTTTAGAGACAGGGTTTTGCCACATTGCCCAGGCTTGAACTCCTGGGCTTAAACAATCTGCCTGCCTCAGCCTCCCAAATTGGTGGGATTACAGGCGTGAGCCACTGCACCTGGCTATAGATTACTTTTCAATGATTAACTTTGTTTATGCTTTTATTATACTGTATTAAAGTTTTTAATCTTTAAGTTTGGGCTGAGTATGAGCAGGCATTAGCTAGGCAGAAGAGATCATCAGAAGGCATATTGTTGTGTGTGAACCCCAAATATCTGAGACAGCGCTCAGTCAATTTAGGAAGTTTATTTTGCCAAAGTTAGGGACACACACCATGACACAGCCTCAGGAGGTCCTGATGGCATGCTCAAAGTGGTTTGGGGGCAGCTTGGTTTTATATATTTTAGGGAGACATGAGACATCAATCAATACATGTAAGATGTACACTGGTTTGGTCCAGAAAGGCAGGGCAACTCGAGGTGGGGAGGGGGCTTTTTGGTCAAAGGTAGATAAGAGAAAAATGTTTGCATTCTTTTGAGTTTCTGGTTAGTCTTTCCAAATGAAGCAATCAGATATGTATCTATCTCCGTGAGCAGAGGGATGACTTTGAATAGAATGGGAGGCAGGTTTGCCCTAAGCAGTTCCCAACCTGACTTTTCCCTTTAGCTGAGTGGTTTTGGGGTCCCAAGATTCATTTTTCCTTTCACATGAGCAAACAATAAAAGTGAAGGAAAGTAGATATTCTTTAGAGAATGTGTCCATTATGTAACAATACTATTAATTTAGAATTACATATGTTGTGTGTTCTTATTCTTTTAAATTTGTTAAGATGTGTTTTGAGGTCTTATCTTGGTGAGCATTCCAGGTGAGGTTGAGAAGAATGTGTATTTGTTATTATGGGGTAGAGTATTCTATAAATGCCAATCAGATCGAGTTGATTGATAGTGTTCTTCAAGTCAACTATATCTTTTATGTATTGTATTCCTGCTAGATCTATCAGTTACTGACAGAGGGTTTTGAATTCTCCATCTCTACAGTGGATTTGTCTTTTTCTCTTTTTATTTCTATTTGTTTTTGCCTCATGTATTTTGACACTGTCTTATCAGGTGCATGTACATTTCTTGGAGAACTAATTCCCTTTGTCATTAGGTAGCGTTCCTGTTTATTCCTAACAATTTTCCCTGTTCTAAGTCTTCTTTGTCTGGAATTAACATCGCTACTCCAGTTTTCTTTTGATCAGTGCATTGTATAACTTCTTCCATCCCTTTATTTTTAAACTTTGGAGTCTTTATATTTAAAGTATATTTCTGGTAGGCAGCATATAATTGGATCTTCTTCTTTTATCCCCCCTGACAATCTCTGTCCTTTAATTAGTGTATTAAGCCATTCATATTTAAAGTGATTGTTACTATATTTGGATTAATATTGACTATGTTTGTAACTGCTTTTTATTCATTTACAGATGCTACTGCTTCTGCACTCTGAGCAATTTATATGATTTTTAAAAATTCTACCTTCTCTCAGAATATCAGTAAAAAATTCTTCTTAAAAAATTTTAGGCTAGGCACAGTAGCTCACATCTGTAATCCTAGCACTTTGGGAGGCCAAGGTGGGTAGATCACCTGAGGTCAGGAGTTTGAGACCAGCCTGGCCAACATAGTGAAACCCTGTCTCTACTAAAAAAAAAAAAAAATTAGCTGGGTGTGGTGATGCGTGCCTATAATCCCAGCTACTCAGGAGGCTGAGGCAGGAGAATCACTTGAACCCGGGAGGCAGAGGTTGCAGTGAGCCAAGATTGCTTCATTGCACTCCAGCCTGGGCAACAAGAGTGAAACTTCATCTGAAAAAAAATTTAAGCAGTTCTCTTTAGAGTTTACAGGATATTCTCAAAACTAAACTAAATCTACCTTCAAATAACACTATTTCTGCTTCATGTGTAGTGCAGGTGCCTTAAAAACAGTATTCCTGAGTCCTCCCTTCCAGCCTTCTGACATTGCTATCATTTATGTCATTTAGCCACATGCTATAATCATTAAATACTGACTACTATTGTTACTTTAAACAGTTATCTTTTAGATCAATTAAGAATAGGAAAAATAAGATTTTTATTTGACCTTCATTTATACCTTCTCTGACACCCTTCTTTGCTTCATATAGATCCAAGTTTCCGATATGTGTTACTGTCCTGCTTGAAAAAATTTTTTTAACGTTTCTTGCGAGGGAAGTCAGCTGATGACAAATTCCTCAGTTGTTTGTCTTATAGTATCTATTTCTTCTTCATTTTTTTAAAGAGATGGGATCTTGCTATGTTGTCCAGGCTGGAGTGAAGTGGCTATTCACAGGTAGGATTATAGTACACTGAAACCCCCAATTCCTGAGCTCATGTGATCCTTCTGCCTCAGCTTCTCAAGTAGCTGGGACTACCAGTGCATAGTACCATACCTGGATAATGTTTTAATTTTTTCATAGACATGAGCTCTTGCTATGTTGCCTAAGCTCGTCTCAAACTTCTGGCTTCAAAGGATCCTCCTACCTCAGCTTCCCAAAGGGCTAACACTACAGGCACACACTACCATGCCCAGTGCTTCTTCATTTTTGAAGGATAATTTCCCTGGATATAGAATCCTAGGTTGATGGTTTTTCCCGCTAACACTTTAAATATTTTGTACTACTGTGTTTTTGCTTGCATACTTTCTTTTTTAAATTATTTTTTTCTAATTTAAAATTTTTATGGATACATACTAGCTGCACGTATTCATGGGGTACATGCTATATTTTTATGTAAGTGTACAATGTGAATGAGCAAATCAGGGTAGCTGGGCTATCCATCACCTTAAACATTTATGATTTCTTTGTGTTAGGAACATTCCAATTTCACTCCTGTAGTTATTTTGAAATATAAATTCAATTAT